ATATGCAAATTTACAGGTATCAGGTATTAACCAATATTCATAATATTTCATATGTTTCCACACAATATACTAACCATAAAGTAGTCACTAACACTCTTTCTTTCATTCAATTAATTGAGTGAGAGGAAATCTTAGGAAGGCCAACAGCAAAGGGCTCACAGGATAATGCACATGAGCAGCATTTACCACGTGAAGGTAATAACTAACTCACAAATCTATTTTAATCTATTTTAATGTAAAACCCTCCTCTCCAACTTTATTTTATCTTTAAATACCAATCTCGATTTTTTGAATTTTTACAAAAAAAAACGAGGATAGTAAAAACTCCCCTCGATCTTAAAAATTTATCTTTACAAATGAATTTGATTTATTAAATTTATAGAATATATTGAAATAAAACCAAGTAAGGAAAAAGCCTCCGTTCTATATCTTAATTTATCCGTACGCTGAAATATTTTATCGCGATTCCTAAACAAATATTTCCCTTCAAAGAGATCAAATAGGATCACATAAACCATAAATATCGTGAACTTCAAATGGTTTTATTGGATGTTTAGAAAGTGCCCAACATTAATAACATCAATAATATAAGAGCGTTAACCTCAGAATAATTTACCTTGGTTAGACCTCTTGGCTCCTAACACACAAGATTTAGCTATCCTAACCATAACTAAACTCCTGAACACAACATCATCTACCAAGGAATAGGGTCGTTAGTATGAGAACAATAAAATCTATCTTAAAGGTAAAACAAAGCACTTCAGTATAAAATACTTAATTTATCTTAAAATTAAAGTGAATTAAAAGTTCAACAAAACACATAAGAGGTGCACATCAGTAGAGCTCTGATGACTTAGAGCGTAGGTGCCCAATAACAAAAAGCTTCATTTCAATATATCATGAAACCCTACTGAGCCAACCGAAATCATAATGAACAACAAAGTCCCCTCCAAAATACAATTTGTTGAGCACGATGGGACGTGTGGAACGCCTAGCAACAACTTCTTCCCTCCCCTCGGCGGAGTTTACCCCTGAGGTCTCCCCCATATCCCCGACAAACCAACGGAGATCATACGCTCCATAGAAGCGTGACAAAACCTCTGATGGCAGCTGGTTGAAAGGGATTCCTTGACGCAGAAAGTGAAGTTTATGAAAGTGATCACAACGACGACACCACCATATTTGACACGCACGCTCAAGCGTGTACATGTCTTGACAAAGACCAATCTCACCACAGATTTCACAATCCTTAAACATGCCACCAAACAATGAAGATTCACCTAAAAAACTTTAATACAGTTAAGTACCAAGTCGTTTGCAAATTTAAGAAATATTAACATAGACACTGGAAGTAGGTTTACAAATACACAACTCACACGAACAAAAACATAACACAGCCAATTTTATTTTTTCACTTTAAAAAATTGATTAATTCAACTAAACCTAGGCTAATGATTTATAAAAAATTCAGGAGAGATGTAGGCTTTAACCTTTGTTTCCACAATATTTATGCAGGAAACAATTGTCGGACCAGGAAGATCCAAGCGAGGAAGAAGCAGGCAGAGAGACACAGGTGAAGAGAGGACTTTTACTATGCATTGGTAAGTTTTTTTTCATCGGACTTCTTTATAATATGGGTGAAAGTCTTGGGCAATCAGTGTGAAAACTGAATACTTACCCATTAAACAGTGAAAAGATATTATTACACCCACTAACTATAATGAAGAACCAATAGTGTGCTAACACAACACCCTGAAACTAAAAACCCACTAAGTGAAATAAGATCTGCAGGATTCATACCATGATGTGTGCAAATAACGTCCACACCAAGAACTGAGCAAATCTGGAATGCACTGTTGTCTAAATTTTCTGCAGACTCAATTTCAAATTAACCACATATTTCAAATTTCAAATACCCATGTACACAGGTCTTTATTTAATTTATGATGAAATCTGATGAAATAGCCATGAAATACCGGGTTGTTGTATTTTCACAGATAAAAATAAGTGAGACAACAGATATAATGAACATGTTGTAAAGAAATAAAATCCTGCTCTGAGCGTTTGTTTCAGGAAAAAATAGATACAGCCTAATAGGTTTAAAACTATTTTAATGCTTTTTAAATCCCAATGCCATGCCTAGGAATTTTATTCCTCAAATGCTAGGTTTATAATGCTTTTACCCCATGGAAACATAATAATTAACCACTTAACACACTATATTTCTTGTTGTTTCTCAGGGACACCATTTTCTACGATGGATTGTTTTAATTAATTTTCTGCACGGATAAATTCCTCCATGATGACATCTTATTTTTTATCAAATACCGAAAATTGAACTGTCCATGTTAAACCAATTGCCCTAGACATGGCCCCCAATCAGGGGGTAACATGTGGTGGAATTTTATTCAGTCCAAAGTTATTATTTCTAATCTTTATATGTTTTCTTTGACAGGGCAAGACATATTCTCCAAGCATACTGCTAAAATCAAAAAGTATTTTGTTGGTGACCCGTGGTTAACAACCTTGATAGTATTTTCACTGAGTTAATTAAAACAACAGATATAATAAGTCTGTTGTATACAAATAATATTCCATCCTGAGCATGTGTTTTAGAATAACATAAACACGACAAATGCGTGTGTTTTATTTACTTAAAAGCATTGTAAGGGGTTCCAAGGTTAAACTAAGTGCCACGGACATGTAAGAAGTGCCAAAGTTAAACTAATTGCCCTGGACATGCAAGCAAATCACGGGGGTAATAGGTGGTGGAATCTCTTCTGGACAGTTTAGTATTCATAAGGCTTAGATTTTTGTTTTGAAATTGAAAGACATAGCCTGCAAGCATGCTGCTGAAATCAAAACTGGCTCATCTATTTGATAGGTGAAGCTGCTGCCAAACATTCATACAGATTTTAACTTGGGATATTAGACTCATTTATGCTTTGCTCATTAATATGTAACATTCAAGCAGATTGGGATTTTAGCTCTACTTCTAACAAAGGTTTACATGTAAAAAATGCAGGTAGTGTGCAACGGTCATTGATTTTGGTTTCTGAGGCTGCCCACAGCATGGGAACCCCTTCACACACACCCTTTGCACTAATTTATGTATTAAAATGTTGTAATAATTAGACATGGGGTAGATTTAGGGGGACGCAAGCTGCCCCGGAACAGGCCTCAGGTACGCCTCTGCATCCACCTATTCAATCGGTATTTTATTCCTCACCCATTGAGGCTACATTTTTAACTATCCTGTGAACCAAGTCCTCTACAATGCCTTACACAGTAGAAGGGATTTGTTATCTATTACAATAGTAGTAGGCGACCGACGGCGCGCAAGCGCGACAAATGCGTGTGTTTTATTTACTTTAAAAGCATTGTAAGGGGTTCCAAGGTTAAACTAAGTGCCCCGGACATGTAAGAAGTGCCAAGGTTAAACTAATTGCCCTGGACATGCAAGCAAATCACGGGGGTAATAGGTGGTGGAATCTCTTCTGGACAGTTTAGTATTCATAAGGCTTAGATTTTTGTTTTGAAATTGAAAGACAAAGCCTCCAAGCATACTGCTGAAATCAAAACTGGCTCATCTATTTGATAGGTGAAGCTGCTGCCAAACATTCATACAGATTTTAACTTGGTATATTAGACTCATTTATGCTTTGCTCATTAATATGTAACATTCAAGCAGATTGGGATTTTAGCTTTACTTCTAACAAAGGTTTACATGTAAAAAATGCAGGTAGTGTGCAACGGTCATTGATTTTTGTTTCTGAGGCTGCCCACAACATGGGAACCCCTTCACACACACCCTTTGCACTAATTTATGTATTAAAATGTTGTAATAATTAGACATAGGGTAGATTTAGGGGGACGCAAGCTGCCCCGGAACAGGCCTCAGGTACGCTTCTGTATCCACCTATTCAATCGGTATTTTATTCTACACCCATGCTTTGTATTGACCCGCAAACAATGTCTCGACTCTGTCCCAATTTATTTTTCTAAACACAAATTGCAAATATTATTTTAAAGATTCCGTTCTGCATCGTTAGGTCAGTCATACATATGCTTCATAATACAAAATATCTTATTAGAAAATCATCCCTGGTAAACATGATAGATTGGCACTCTTTGTGGGCCGAGTCCTTGGCCTAAAAACATAGCAAAAAGCAAAACCGTAGGCAACTCCGAGCCCATAAGGGGTCAAGGGTATGGCACCATGGCAGCCATTGTTGCCCACATTTTAGATACAGTCCCATATTATACATTTATACATAGATGCTTATATAGATAACAACAGAAAATAGTTATTCTAAACATAGTAAGGCCCTTGATCACAATCACTTCTCAACCTTGAAACCCTTAAGCTTCTTTGAAGAGCTTGAGCCTGAAAATTCTCCAAATAGGTCACGCTTGAGTCTCTCATTGTCGACATCGAGAGCCTGCCTTTTCTCCTTAGTAAGTAGAGGGCTCGAGATAGATATCTGTGAGGAGCCAGCCTGAAATTTAAACCCCGATTAAGTCTGAGTTACACTTTTCTGGTTTGTAATAAAAAATCAAGAGAATAGTTCACCTTCTCTGTCCCAGAAAACTCCTTGGCCAACCTGCTGAATTCGTCTTCCTCCTGTGAAAGAATTAGGTTGTAGTCAGAAAATATTAATCTGTATATGAGTCTTTTTTTTTTTACCTCCAATGCGGTTATCTTGTCAGAGTAGAGTGCCAGCACCTTTGGATCAGTGTTCATCCTAATCACACTGTATGTCTGGTTACCTTTGAAACTTTTGCTTTCTCTCTTGAACTGCACCTTGAACAAAGCCTTTATGTCAATCAGAGAATTTATCTCTGATGGAAAATAGTGAGGTCCAAAGTTTCTCTGAAAAGTAATATTAAGATGTTAGTTTGCACCTGAATATAAAAATCAAATCAAATAGGAATTAGGACAAAAACAAACCCTAGATATTTGTTCCTTAAGAGATGTTGCTGACTTCCCCAGCAAACAGGAGACTTCCCTATCCCAAAGCAAGAATGAGGCATGGGTAGTTCCATCAACAACCCGAACATTGACCTTGTACCTCAGAACTGCATCGTTAGAGCTGCATGAAACACACCAAAAGCTGTCTCCGTTAGGCGAGACTTTCCTATTGCACCCTATGCACGAAACGTACGACCAATCCTTATAGCTGTCGATTGCTACGATCTCTCCGTACACCCAGTGTTTTCCGTCCTATTTATCACACAAACATCCCAGTCAAAACGATTAGGGAAACTGTTTTTAAAAAAATTTAAAACACAAACCTCTTGCAGTTTCCCTAGTGCCTCAATGGTTATCAGATCTTGCTGTCCCATTGCAATGTCTGCATCATTAGAGGTGTCCGAAGTTATAGTAAAGCTCAGTCCCTGACCAGTCCTCAAAGCCATCCTGAAATGCATGTTTTGGGAAGATGTTACATTCATTATCCCAAAATTTTAACATTGTTAGTTGAGCTGTTTTGAAGTCTGCACCTGGACTTAAAGTCAGCAAACTCCTCCTCATCCCCGTTCAATATGACCTTGGTTGTGTTGAACATGTTTGAGACATGAACGTGTCCTAATAAAGGTAAACATAAGCAAGAAACTTCAGCAATGGACATAAAATTAACTTGACATTGAGATGTATTGATTTTGGAATGACCTTGATACTTCCTTGCCTTGCAACACTGCAGGAGCATCACAATTGGATCGGATGTAGTAAGCTTGTAAGTCAATAGCATTTCAACCATTGGTCCCCACAGAGTGCATGCTATGAAGTTACCCCTACGGACACCATTTCTTAAAATTAGAATTTAACACAAAAAACCAACACAAACAATATGCCTCTTAGGTATAAATTAACACTCACGATGTGTCCCCCAAAATCAACTCCATCAACTTCTTTGGCCTCTCATTCTTTAAAATGGTTTTTGGGTCTTTATCGTGCACCACCTGGCCAATTATATCTAAACATTCGAAGTGTAAACTTTATATATTTTCTGAAAAGGGTGATTGTATAATGAAACACAAATTGTAATTAAAATACCAATTCCGCATTTTTCGTTGATGATGTCTAATGCTTGCAATGAAGCAAAAGACACCAAGGAGAAAGTCCTCATGGGGAATGGAACCCCTTTAATCTCGAAAGCAGCACTTTTGTTAAAGAAACGAAGCCTATAAGCACTTGTTGAAGTTTTGAAAAACATATAGTTTTCCTCAACCATGAAGTTTTTGACAGCAAACACTCTGCCCTCCTTGAAAACACCATTAAATTTGTTTATGAATTGATCCGGGATGTGTGCGTGCATCTTGGACCCCTGCAGTTCAAAAAGAGTGGGTCAAACTATTCATAAAATATGTGTAAAACACGACATTCACGTAAAGCACAGAAACTGAACCTCCTCGTCATGAAAGACGACCTCCAAAGACTCAGGGAAACAGTCATGAGCCGGCTCACGGTAAACTCGTATCGCCCTAGCCTTTATTGCCCATGTTGTTTTGCTTTGGTCTATTTCTCGGAACAAAGACCACATGCCAACCATTTTTCGATAAACTTCTTTGTTGTTCTCAACTAATTGGCTATGTATGGATGCAGTGCTGCAACATTGGCATGGCTGAATTTATAACAGCCAAATGGGCCAGCCTTATCAATCGGAAACAGTGGAGATATCTTCTTCAGCCAATGAGAATTGTAGTTGGAATTGGGGGGAAACTGAATTTCAAAATTTGAATTATGAATAGTTACACCAAAGCCAAACCAATAATGCACAACAGTTCTCAACCGTGTATAACCTTCATACGTAGTAACCAACTGTTCATATAAAAACGGTCCAATCAGAATGAAGCACATAGAGTTGGAAATCCTTGTGAAATCTTTATAATCTGTCCGGAACTCCTCCTCCACTCATTTGTTGCCCTACAAAAAAATTTCTCAAACATGCCCTAACATTATGATTTTTTATGCTCGCAGCCCTTTGCCAGCTATGCACCGTAGAGCAATGCACCTAACACTTGAAAGCGACGTTTTTGGGGGGGAACTTCGGCCCACTTTTATTTTGCTTTTAGATTAAGATAGATATAATTAAAAAATATTGTCTGGTGTCCTTATGCTTTCAGTCTTTTACTTGAAGTATTGATGGGTCTATATATTACTTTTTTTATTCTTTTTCAAAGGCATCCTGCATGTTTAAACTGATTGAGTGCCTTCCATTTATAAATGCCATAATTTGACGGTGTCATCATTAGATGAGCATTATTAGAAGTGGTGACACAAAGTTCAGCCGAGGTAAGGGTGGATGAGGGAAGATGTCGCTACGTCGGGACTTCAGAGAGGGGGAGAGGTTAATTAGGCATGTACTATAGTAGGGATAGCATCCGTCTAATGGTGATTGCCGGGCAGAAGACCAATTGTCTGGTAGAAGTGAAGCTTGATATGCAAAAAGTGTTTTCCTTTCAAAAGAAGTTTCCACTCTAACTATTTCAAGCTCTCTTACCAAGGATAAAAGGAGTAAAGTTGCTATTTTTTGCATCACATTTTCAGTCAATTTTTGTATGAATTATGTTCATCGTCCATGAACATGTAACTTTAGTTGTAAGTTTGTCAGACAAAAAGAACTTAATTTAATCACTATGTTCATCTTTAGAATGACTCATAATTCAAATCACTATTTTATGTACATATTCTTTTATCTTTAGAACGACCATTGCCGCATTCACAAAATAGACATGACGTATGTTTTTAACTTATTCGCCGTTTGACAACACTATTTTTTGGCTTATCAGGCTTATCGGCCAACTTTTTTTTTACCAAACACGTAACTTTTGCTTTCGCGCGCTGAATTGTGTAATAAGCAGAAAAAGTAAGGTTGGAGTTACTTTTCTGGTTGTATTGGCTGAAGTTATTGTAAATGACCATTTTAGCTATTTTTACATATATTTTTTTTCGTTATTTTATTAATAAAATATACTCCCTTGGGGACAATCTCGTTATTGTCCCCAAGGGACAATCAGCCTATTTGTAATACAATAGGCTATGATTGTCCCATTTTACAATTTCGCTAAAATAGCGAAAAAATTCGTAATACTCGTATTGTATTACGAATATTTTAACGAAAATAGCAAAAATATTCGTAATACTCGTATTTTAGAACCACACCAAATAAGGTATGAGACAATCTTAGTGGGACGGACCGAAATGGTAAAATGGGACAATCATAGCGAGACGGAGAGAGTATTTATTTACTTTTGTATATACTCCCTCCGTCCCAATATAAAAGGCACACTTTCCTTTTCGGTCCGTCCCAATATAAAAGGCACATTTCCCTTTTTGGCAAACAAAACAGTGCAAAACAGTGCCAAACAGTGCCAAACAGTGTCCAAACAGTGCCAAACAGTGTCCAAACAGTGCCAAACAGTGTCTAAACAGTGTCAAACAGTGTTCAAACAGTGTTCACCCTTAAAAACTCCCCAAACGCAAATGTGCCTTTTATATTGGGACGGAGGGAGTATATTTTTTGGATGTAATCTGCTACTACGAATATTTTCGCTATTTGCGCTATTTTAGCGAAATGGTAAAATGGGACAATAATAGTGAAAATAATACTCGTATGATCTCGCTATTTTCGCTATTTTAGCAAAATGGTAAAATGGGACAATCATAGCAAAAATATTCTCATGACTGAAGTTATTGTAGATGACAATCTCGTTATTTTTTTGGATACTATCACTTAAGGTGTAGGTTCACGCAAAAAAAAATACTCGTATATTAAAATATGGAATCATTATAATAATTCTTGGAATAATATATTTTATGTCCTTTAATGTAATTTTATATTTTCCAACCATCCTATCAGCTCTTTTTGTCAAACGGGTCTTCATTCAGCTATACATTCAGATTCAGCAGTCATAATTCAGTTCCAGACAATAGTCTATAATTCAGACAATAGCTCTCTATTCAGACATTACTCTTCAGTTCGTTGTGTCAAACATAATCTTAGCAAAGAATGAGGAGTGCCTAGACTGCCTACCTCAATTCGTCAACTTTGAGTACTAAGAAGAAGAGATGTCCAGCAAGAGTCAGACGATGCTACGGCGGCGGCCTGCGGCGAGGTCGAGATGAAGGGGGTCGAGCGAGCGAGTAGCACAACAACAAGGTTCTGTCCTGCCGAGGTGTATATTACTTTGTAGTCTTTATTGTATTAGTGTTGAAAAATCTTTTACGGAGTATGTTGTTAACAACTAGACCGGACCAGGCGAGTTGACCCTTGACCCGGCCACCCGGCCATTTATCCAGTCCGATTATTAGTCCAACTGCTAATTCCGCTAATATCTACCGGAATCCCGATGACCTGCGTAGACCCGAACCTGACCCGACACAATTTCAACTATGAATCAAACCCGTAGTTGGTATGAGGAATCGAGTGCATCTATATTTTCCTATTTGTTACAACTCTCGCTTTTTTACTTTTATAGCTTGTGAGCGTGTAACTTATACTCCGTGTTGGGTTAATGGCCCCATTAGAGGGTCGGCCCATTTACCCCTCCTCGAACGAACGTCTAGGCCCAACAACACCTAAGTCCCTCGACGAATGTCTACACCAGAGGAAGTTGATCATGCTTCAAGGCCTAAGGCACATGGGACGAACGTCGCCATACCTAGCCCGCCAAGCCCGGAGGGATCTAATTAACATATTCTACATAAGGGCCAAAAGATGTACAGCCCACAATCCTTTGCAGCATCACCAGGGGGCTAACCGCAGAACCCGGGGGCGCTCGTCTCCACAATTGGGCGGGAAACCTAGATTGGCGGGAAGCGCATTTAATGCTGGGGATTTGGTGGTTGAGGCATCAGCCATTCACAGCTCTCCACGTCATACTAGTCAACTGCCCATTGGTGGTATAAATAATAGCATTTATTTCATTGTAAGGGGTTGACAACTTACCTGCCTTAGCATTCTAGCTCACTTTCAGCTCTTAGCATATCATTTGCAGCTCTTCTACTGAGGTGCAAGACGAACGGCCTTCGGGCTTAGCAAGCGTATTGCATCGGGGGTTTATTAGGGATTAATAATATCCGATCTTTTACTTGCTTAATACTTTCTTAGCCCATCTTACTTGTTTGTTGGATCAGTTTATTTGCTCACATACCCAAAATCCACTCGAAATCTTTGGGCTTACGTGTTGGACCCAAAGGTTGAAGGAATAAACCTCAACACTCCGTTTTTATAAGTATTAATTAATTAATTAATTAATTAATTAATTAATTAATTAATTAATTAATTAATTAATTAATTAATTAATTAATTAATTAGTTTAGTAGTTAACTCATAACGTTTAGTTAATTGATTGGGTATCGAAGATTGACCCATTAATGAACTTGCTCGCCTTGACCTTGAACCACGTTTGGTACAAACCTCGATAGTTTCAAGAATTTCATGTGGTACTCTTGAACTGTCATCTCCACCTGCTTCAGCTAAAGAAACCCCTCATTTTAATCAGACTTCACGTGTTCCTGGTAGAAGTGTTCACGCGATTACTCCTTGAACGAGTGTCAATAGAAACCAGACTCCAACTTGAGTGCAGGACCCACAGTTGCCCACCAATTGTTCGCCTCTTATTGAAAATAGTATGCAGTTATGTCAACTCGGTACTCTTGAGGGCAGTTCACTGCCTCAAAGAGTTTGTCAAAAGTTCTAATCTAGTACTCAAGGATAAGAGAATCCTGTTCACCCAAGTATTTCAGGGGATTATGTCTCAAAACCAGTCTATTCACGTTGTTGCTATGGTGACGCGGTTGCTGATTTTGATTTTGAAGTACGTCTCGCTCTATGGTGTGGGTGAGCTGAGTCAATTGGGTCAATCTGTGATCGGTCTAGCTCCATGTTGGTAGGAGCAACAACGGTTGCACGCTTGTTTATGTCACGCCCAGACCTACCCGGACACGTCAACAACCCGCCGTACAGTACGAATAGTCAACCGCAGTCCAACATATCCACACCATGCTAGGTGTCTTGAATATCATTCACACGTAGCACATCCATAAACAAACATAATGTAAAATATTCATTAAAGCAACGGAAACAGTAAACACAAGTGTTCAAGCCACATTTGGCAAACTTAGGCATACAAGCCTCTGAATAATTATTCAAAAATAATATCAATGAGCATTATTATTAATGTTTGAAAACATGAATTAAGGAAGCACGGACCAAGTCTTCTCTCCTATATCTTCTCGAAGAAATGGACGTTGGTAGCAAGCTTCAACTTCTACCTGAAACTGTGAGGTGGCCTTCCCCGTGAAGGGGAGGTCAGTACTTTGAAGAATTTGAAAAGCACAATGACGACTACACTGTATATAATCAATGTTTCAATTTCTAAGACCCTCAATTTAGGGGTGATATAATATTATAAGCCGTAACCCTATGTTACCATGTTTGAAAATATATTTACTTTATATAAAGTAGTCAAGTAGTCGGCCCGTAGGCCCCTGTTAGTATTGAAACGTCCCTCCATATGCCTCATGATTACTAATCTCGATTAACATAAACTTTTAGCAAGTCACCACGACGTCATAGGGTTTTACCCTAGCGCGTTATTTCACTATAGTAGAGTCTCGCCCATTTATATTATTACGCCGTGCTAGAGCCTCACTCTAGTCACCCTACACTGTGTTAGAGCCTCACTCAAGTACGTCACACTACATTGTGCTAGAGTCTCACTCTAGTCACTCTACATTGTGCTATAGTCTCACTCTAGTCACCATTACGACGTGCTAGAGCCTCGCTCTAGTCACGTTATTCAACCCCTAAGCAAGTTTTATGCACAGAGTCACTTTAAATTGAGTAACCTCTTAAGGCATACTCCTAGTATCACTTATGGCCTGTTTGTTTGGGGGTTAACCTAGGTTATTGGAGGTTTAATTTTTAGTTAACCTCGTTTGTTTGTGTTTTTGCAACAAGAACCTAGGTTATAACTTTACCTCACTTAACTCCCGAGAACCTAGAAACACCTCAAATTGAAGAACCTCCGAATCGGGGGGTTTCGGAGGTTAAGTTCCCGTTCAACATAAAATAAACTAGAGTACCTTCATCCAAACAACATTTATGACATTAACCTAGGTTCACCTCATTTATTTCCAAACGCCATTCTACGCATGAACCTAAGCTCACTTAGGTTAACCCAGTTTTTATTAAAACTTAGGTTTACTTTATTGCACTAGGTTTACTTAAGTTCACTTCATCCAAACAGAGCATTAGAGTTCATACATTTCCACCTCAAAGTATCTCTTAAGACTACTTAAGGTATAACTTCTCACAATCCAAGATCCAAGGATTAATTCCATCTATTTTCATATTAACATCCCGACTAATACTTTAATGCTAGTTAAATAATCTTAGAACAACCAAGTTCTCAATTACTAGTTCATTCAAATTGATTTCCCCATCAAAATATAATTTAATCTCAATATTCAAAATATCACTTTTATCCATTCATGAATTCTTTACATGAAGTAAAAGTATATTCCATCACAAGGTTTCATAGTTAATTCAACTATCATGTCATCATATTCATAACACATAATCATTCACAATTTCTTCTAAATTTGTATATCACGCTTCATTTACTCATAGACAATAATATTTTCATTTATGAATTATTAATAATTAATAATTCATAAACATCACATTTAATTACCGTAGGTAATCTTATGAGATCAACTCACTACTTTTAAGCAATATAGTCAGTCATCCTCACCTTGTGATGCTAAACTAGATGTCTTTGTGAAGCTCTTCGGTTATCCCCCATCCTGGACCGATCAAATGTGAAAATCTGGACTGCAGGCCAAAAGCTGTGCGGCTTTCACGGAAGCCTGGCGGCGTTCATCCGTCTGCAATATGGGCAACCTCCTTTTCTTGGCGGTTTCCGGCGGTTTCAACTCCTATTGATTCCACGACTCTTCTAAGTTAAATACCACCACTATATAACAATATTCTACACTTCTAAACGTGTAGAACCTCTTGTTTAATCTACCATATGATTTCTTGAAAATCATACAAGAATAAACTAATTAAATGGACTACTTGAGTTCTTGCCTCGATTCTTAACCTTTTCTCTTTGAATTTCCCTTCCTTCTAGCTTCCTCCAAGCTTGTTGTTGAGAGAGATGTTTCCAGCCCCTTATCCCCCCCTAAATGATTCGTATGGTGTGGAGAAGAAAGAGAGAAGATCCCTTCTCAATCAAAGGAAAAAATAATGCAAGACAAGACATGGGGTATGGGATTTTGTCTCAATGAGACTTCAAAATTGTTCTCTTCATTTTTTACACCATTTCAAAATCTCATGTTGACTTGGACCAATACAATCATGTATGATAGATTATATGGTCCTGGACCCCTACCCACATATTTATCACACACCAGAACAAGCTCAATAGGTCATAAACCCAACAAACATCCGATATCCCTTGAACCACTTGGTCGAGAGCATTATCCACATCCAAAACAGGTCTAAAACCTTCCACAGTTTCCTAAAGTAAATGCATATGTATTTCACATTTTTAATAACTTGGTACTCATTTGGCAATCATATGCATTTCTCACATTCTCACATACTTGGTTGTAAGGTTACTGTGCCTAGCGAGAGGTATCGAGTTCGAAACCCGCTAGACACATAAGAGTTTGAAACTCAATGGGCTGAGTTTCGGCCTTATTACTCCAGGGCTCCAGGCTCCCCCAGACCCTTGAGATAAAAAAATTATATTAAATTGACAAAATACCAAACAAAACTATGTTACACAGCAAACTTACCTAAACTATACCAATTTAGAGTTGCCAATTTCAAAATTTTAATCCGAGAATAAATAGTGACTTCAACAAAAAATAGCATACTAATAATTGTACTGAAATAAAAATGGAAACCTACTTCTTGGTTCTAAAATGAATGAAGTTCTTAGCTTCACTTATAAGCTTTTAGGTTTTTTCTGTTGCATGTTGATTTGATTTCCCGTTGCAAAATAAAGTACAGAAACCACTCAGGCAGTTATACTCCCAACAGATTGAAAGCTTTCTTTCTCAGTTTCTCCTACGACTAGGCCCGCCTGAAATATCATTTTACATTTTTACCGACGATCAAATACCAGTCGTTCTGTGTGCAAAAGTTTGGAAATGCGTTCCGATTAATCCTGACGCTGTCGAGGCGGTGAAAGCTGCGGAGATGTGGGCCTTGGTGATGGTGTTTGTTCTCGGGGCACTCACGGTTGTTGGGGCGGAAGCCGTCGGACTCGTTATCTTGATTCGATGGTTGAATCGGAGGGTAGCTCATGAAGTTGCAAGATCCAGGATCCCAAGAAATCTGTCAAGCCGTGGGAATGTCGATCCTTCTCTATACAACAAGCAGGCAGGCCACTTTGCTTGCTCTGTTTACTCTATGAGACTTTTCTTTGTTCATCGCAATTTGAAACTATTCCGGCGCAATTTCACCCTTTCAGTTTCTTGCTTTTCTTCTTGCTCCAAGAATGGAAGCCACACATATCGAGAATATGCCTTTGTTTTCACTTTTCAGAATTTGGGGTTTTAATGTAATTAAGAGTCAATGTGCCCATTTATTGCCAGTAATGTGTACTTGGTATTGAGGTTGGATTTTTTTCATGGAAGTTAGTTACTTAGTATGTCTATGTAATAATCTGTTTATAGACTGAATTGATGTGCTCAGGCACAGTAGTAGCATGACACCTGGTCATGGCGGCATTTCATGTTCTCTCTAGGAGGACCTATTGGGTCTTGGGGAAATTCATCACGTAGCTTAAAGAATGGAAGTTTCACATGAATAAGGGAAAAAGTAGGGAAATGGAGTTTGACCCCTATTTAGGCTATTTGCTTTAACTGGTTGGTGTGAAAATGAAGAAACGTAGGATATTTTAATGATTAGAGATCTAAGGGTGCTTGGATGCAAGGGGTGTCATTTAGTCGCCCTTCTCATTTTGGTCTGTTTTTGAATGCTTAACTGGTTTCATCTTCTAATAGAGGGTTGTTTAAGAAGTTCATCTCCAGTTGCAATGTATATACTTGGGTTAATACAGAAAGTCAGAAGTATCTTAATTGAATTCACACTAACATTGGCATTGCATGTGTCTGGGCTTGGGGTCACAGCTAATTGCAGGATCTTCAGAAGTAACCAAAGTACCAAACAAGATACTCAAACAATTGACCTATTCTAGGTTTACCATGCCTAAAAGAAGAGATTGCTTGTTACTGCGATTGCATTTGCATACACGTTTCATGCAATTGATAGGGTATGAATGTATGATTGTGTAGAAGATATTGATCTCTTCCATCAGCAAAGTTAACTTGAATTTTAACATATATTTATTTATGTATATGTATTCTCATTTGATAGTTTCCTACTGTTTCATCTACCGTCTTTTAGGGCTTTGTGTGGGTTCTAGATGCAGAAAACATCCCAAGAGCTTCTCCTATGGAGAAAGCTTTGAGACAACAAAAGGTCAAAAAAGAGATCTTGGAGGTTACACCTGTAAAGAAACATGCAAAATTGAACCAACATTCTCTCGTTTTAGCAGAATCAGATGCTTCCTACACAGAAATTGAACTTAAGGGTTGTACAATAGCAGCTGTATCTGCAACAGATTTGTCCTCAAGAAAATGGTAACTAAGAATTCATTCAGCATAATCTCACATGGTCCACTGTTTTTTTGCATGAAAGTGGAAATGCTTATGATCTTGACGGGTTTGGAATTTCATCTCATTATTCCTTCTTTAGAAAAACGTGTCAAGCAGGACATCTGACATTAAACCTTGACACTGTTTCTTGCACGAATCCCTGGCATTAATATTTTATAACAATTAGTTGACAATTTGACACAATAATTTTCATGCCACTAATGTTAATTAGTTTCAATAATTAACACTGTATTATCATGTCGTCAACCAATTTAGTTGGGATTAAGGTGGTGGTGATGATGGTGATGAATCTCATAGGAATTCACTCTGCTAATATCTATACTACAATTGCCCTGTCATCTGTGTATTGCATTCTTATCTCTATATTGGATATCTACTATTATTTGGTCTAATTTGTTGTACCATTGAGTTGTCAAGCCTTCCTTCTTGGAAGCTTGAATTGGACTTGATAAGGTTCAAACTAGGGATGTAATGAGTTATTCCGCGCTATCTTGATAAATTTTATTTGAATTCTCTCTAGCCCATCCGGAGATCGAGCTGCTCGAATAACGAGTTGAGAGTCAAATTTGACTACTTTAGCATTTTCATTATGTATATAAAATACAAAAGTGCATCCTACATATCTTGATACATGCATGCATGCATGGATGTATGAAAGAGTAATTCTAAATTAATTTTTAATATGATACTTGGTTCTAACATCGAAATAATTTCATAAATAGCCAAATAGGACTAAAATTGGGCTCGTTCACTTCTAAAAGATGAACTAGTAAGTAATCTTATTCTATTTTTAGTGTCTTAGAGATAAATGAGTCGTACTTTTAGCACTGAACAAGGGTACTTTTATTTGTGCACATGGCCCATGTTTTAATTTTATTTGCAGAAAATTTTCTTCTTAAAGTATTTATCATTATAATTTTTTATATGAAAAATGACAAATAATGCCGAGCTAATTCGATATGAGCTCGAATATTCCAAAGTTTGAGTCGAGTCAACCTTGACTTTGCAAATTTGAGTTAAAGCTCTTACAATTCAAGCATCCAGATAGGCCAGTGGATCTATTCGGACCAGGCTTAGTCTGTTTTTGGAAAGTCACCTTCCAGTGCTTGGTCTTCTTGAAAATAAACTTCCCTGAGCAGGCACATGCATAAAAACCTTTCTACACCCCATTCTCTCTGCTTTTTAGTCCTCACGGTTAAGAAAAAGGGTGATCCATTATTTCGGGTTTTTTTAAAAGACTTGGTTCGGGTTTTGACAAAGACTGTTTGGAAATCTCGTGTGCATGAATTATAATTAAAAACCCCATCACACACCTAATTGCATTTCTTTTAAAACATAGCTCTGATATGACTTGAACTTTTTAACTGTATATTTTATTTATAAAATTGGACATGACACAGTTTTGGCTTTCATTTATGATTTATTGGTCTGTGATGAAACAGGGCTAAAAGGTACCCAATAAAAGTAGAAAGCAAATCATCAGCTATATACAAAGGAAGTAAAACGATATATTTGTATAATGAAACATCTTGGGAAAAGGAATCCTGGTGTAAAGCTCTATATCTTGCTTCATGTGAGGATGCAGAGAAGCTGAAGTGGTTCATCAAATTGAACATAGAGTTCCAAAACTATGTGATGTCATTAAATGCTGTGTATCCTTCTTCATTTATGAAATCATTTCCACGTATGAGTATTGAGCGTATCGATAATAAGTCAAACAAGCCTGATGTCTCTTCATCAAAGGTTCGGAATTTTCTGAGGAAACTTTCCAAGAAAACTTCTAAGAGTGGCGTAGAAAATAAGCCAAACTTGCTCCTAAACTCAAGCCGTGATGTTCCAACTGAAAAATCTATTGATTGTTCGACCGAGGAAGTAACGGCCTCTTCATCTCTAGAAACTTTAACTGGGCCAGGGGGCAGAAATCACTTGGCTGTAATTTCTAATGCAGATTCTTCAGATGATAGAGCTTCAAGTGGTGGAACTGCGTGTTGGAACTTGTTAATATCTAGGCTATTCTTTGATGCTAAACAGAATGCAGAGATAAGAACTTCCTTACAAGCTCGGATTCAGGTATGCTAGGATTTAACTCTGCTAGAGGCTGTCGTTGATATACACTTGTACATCTCAATCAAAGAATATTCTTCCACAACAACATCCAAGCTTTAGTCCCAAAAGAGTTTGGGGTCGGCTAACATGAATTGATATACGAAACCGGAATTAAAAAAGATAAAAAGAGATTAATCCTTCACACGTATACCCTCCTTCCACTTTGCTCTCCCCAAAGTCACACTCTCATCCAACATAAGAAGTACCATATCATTCCTGACCACTCAAATAAACTTTTCCTTGGGTCGTCCTCACCCTCTCCTCCCCGTTTCTTCTCCCACCTCTCGATTCGTCTAACAAGTGCATTACTCAGTCTTCTACACACACTATCAGGTCACCGTAATCAAGTCTCTTATCTTCAATAGATGCTACTCCCATCTTTTGCGTGATTGTCTCATTCATCGAGCGCTCTTTTCTAATATGTCCACACATCCAGCGCAACATGTGCATTTCAACCACACTCATATTTTGAATGTGACATTGTTTCACCGCCCAAAACTCTACTGCATACGATAATGCAGGCCTGATTGTTCTCCAATAAAACTTACAATAATCAAAGAATATTCTTTCAGTTAAATGCAATATGCATGAATACCTTCTGCCTATCAAATACGGAGTATAAAAAAGGAAACATAAATTCTTACAATCCTACCCCTCTAGTCATGTTGAGATTAGTATAATTCCGGTGCCATATTTTACACTAAAACTTATTGGTTGCTTAATAAACTCAGTTCAATTGGAGCAATGTATATACTTCATTCCTTTGTTTCTAAAAATTAAGTTTCCAAAGTTTTCTTCTATCCCAGTAATGAAGAGAGTAATTATGATTTAATTTCATACAGCTTAAGAAGTTTTATTTCACTAAAGAAAATCAGAGGTTACGTTCTGTGTCCTTCAATCTTTTCAAGGACTTCACAGGATGTGGGAGCCTTGTAGTATGGCCTGCCTCTTTTATCTGAAGGTTCCTAATGGTTAATGCTTAATTGTTACATTTGCTTTAGAGCCTGTTTGGGTAAAATGCAGAGCTTCGTATTCATGAATAAACTTCTAATTGAGTTTTTTGCATTTTGTTTTTGTTTGACAAAATGAAACTAACTATCACAACACCGTAATGTGCTCTTTTTATTAGAGAACACTATCAAACATGCGAATCCCCACGTACATTGGCGAAGTAATATGCACTGCTGTTGATCTTGGTAATCTACCACCATATTTTCATGCAATGAGGGCCCTTCCTTCCAGCACGAATGAAGATTGGGTGATGGAAATTGACATTGAGTATTCTGGTGGTGCAATATTTGAAATTGAAACAAGGCTTGAAGTTCAAGATCTTGAATTAGAGGAAGGAGGCCCAGGCCTAGAATCAAGTTCTGTGGATGAGGTAAAAGCTGATTTGTTAGAGGGAATTGAACAGTACAGAGAAAACTTGAAATATTCTGAGGAGACAGCTGATGATGATGATCATAGAGATGAAGGAGATCTTAGAGCAGGTAGGTGCATTGGTATTTTTCTCTTCTTTCACATGGATCACACTCACTTTTTTAAAAAGAAAAAAGGCAATTCACTCTATTTCCCGTCCCTAAAAAGGTTGCATTAACTTGGTCATGATTTTTCTGCTATATTTTGTTTCTATAGAGGTTATTCCTCACGTATTAGTTATAGTTCAGGCCTTCACAAGGTTAATTGATGTCCATCTATCATGTATTTTTTCAGATTCTATAAAACACTCCAGAAACACGACCGGTGCAGCATCTCAAAATTCTAGATGGAAGTCTATTGTGCAATCGATTGCCAAACAGGTCTCACAGGTTGTCAAGAGCAATTTTAATTTAGTTCATCATTACTTTTAAAAGTTTCAGGTTATATTACCAATCCTAAGAACAGCCCTATGTATTTATTGTTATACTTCAATGTTTCCCTATTTAGGCAGTGTTTATGAGCTTGAAGTATCACTTATGGTTCCAATAATCTTCAAGACAGACTACTTCAATTTTTAAATAATCCAACTTCGTTGTTGTTTAATGTCTAACAGCTGAATGTTTAATTCTGAAGGTTCCACTTTCATTGGGGGTAAGGGTTGCATCACTCCGAGGATTGTTGCGCATATTCATAAAGCCACCACCTTCAGATCAAATGTGGTTTGGCTTCACTTCTATGCCAGACCTTGATTTTCAGATGGAGCCTTTTATTGGAGAGCATAGAATTGCAAGTGGACGTCTAGCCTTATTCCTAATCAGTCGGTTTAAGGTACTCACGTCTTGTCTAATAATCGATTTGTCCAATTTTATCTTTTAATTTCCCTTTTAGTCTATTCCAAAATATTGTCCACCTCTCTAATATAGAGAGAAATGGACAATTTATCTTTTAATCTTCCTTTTATATTTATGATGTAGGTAGCCATTCGTGACACATTGGTTCTTCCCAACTGTGAAAGTATATGCCTGCCATGGATGTTAGCTGAAAAAGAGGACTGGGTCCCGCGTAAGTTAGCTCCATTCATATGGATTAGTCAAGAACCACGAAGCACTGATAATGCAGATGAAGCTACTCCCGAAACAGCAAGCAGAAGTCTAGAAGGAACCCATGAAGGACCACCTGAGAACACCATGTCATCTTGGGAAAAACCAAATGATTCTCTGGACACACAGTCTTCATCATCATCAGCTCCTCTTAAGATTGGCAATCCAGATAAAGAATTGCGGGTCCCACTATTGAGTTGTGAAGAACAGGTAGCAAGTCATCACAGTAAAAGCGCAGAGGAGGAGGTAGGACAGAACTATGTATGTGAAGAGGACGAGAAGAAGATGAGAAAACTGGGTAGTACAAAAGCAAGGATGATTGGTTTGAGCAAGAAGATGTCGGAGAAAATTGATGAGAAGAGGCGACATATTGAAGAGAAGGGAAGAAACATTGTTGAAAGGATGAGAGGAGGGCAACAACAGTGATGACCATGAAAATCTGACCCCCCCCACTCCCTTAGAATATCTTTTTACTTGTAAATGGAATTACTACAAGCTGGCCTGCACATCTCATATTCCATTCATTAACTGATTAGTGTAATTGTGTAAATCTGATTGTAGAAGTTGGTCCATGCTCCATTTGATTTGTACGTCAATGTCTTGCATATAATGATTTCCCACACATACATAAACGATAAGGTATACACTGATTTTTTTGCTCGCTGAACATTAACATATTTACTAAAACTCTACCAGGTTCTTACTCTAAACAATCACCTCATCCCTCCATTTTTAAGATCATCAAGTCAAGCTTAATTCCCTATTTTTCCCCTAAGAGGCACTTAAGCGAATTTAACCTATCTTTGGTTGCTTTAATCAATTTTTGCCTATTTAAATAAATGTTTTTTGGTTAAAATATGACTTTACTTACAAGAGATCTCGTTTTTGGACCAACCCACCAACTAACCCACAATTAGTCTGGAGTATTAAACTCAAGTCTAGTAAAATTCACCAACTGAGCAACGTCCTGACTTGAGAGCGAGAAGCATGGACAGAAAAACGCTTGGTACATAATTAACATTTGAGTAAAGAGTCAGTTTGGTCCTCGAAGTTGCAAAAAAGGGGTCAAATAAGTCCTTATATAGAAGATTCTGTCCGGACGTGCCATTTGAGGTGGCTCCCGGTGGAATTTTTTGATGAATTTTTTTGAGCATCTTATTCATTAAGTCTAGTTTACTAATACCAAATTTCAAATAAAAATTCAATCGGAAAGACATTCAAATGAATTCTTGAAGATAACTGCGCTTTTAACGGCACAGTTATCTTCAAGAATTCATTTGAATGTCTTTCCGATTGAATTTTTATTTGAAATTTGGTATGAGTAAACTAGACTTAATGAATAAGATGCTCAAAAACATTCATCAAAAAATTCCACCGGGAGCCACCTCAAATGGCACGTCCGGACAGAATTTTCTATATAAGGACTTATTTGACCCCTTTTTTGCAACTTCGAGGACCAAACTGACCTTTATCTCATTAACATTTTAATTCAGCCGGTGTATTTTAGCTTAAACTAATGCCCGCTATTCTTCCAAACGAAACGACTCCTATAATAATGGACCGAACTGTTGAAATTTCAGTCTCTGAACTGTTCATGCCAAATATAACCTAGGGGCCGATTCATAAGATAAAAAATGACTGAATTTATTGAAACTACTCAATTAGTCAATTGTGGCTAAATGAGTAGAACTATAAAAAGCATATATTTAAATAAATTATATTGATAGAAGAATGAAAGTATATATGGAAAATCATTTCAACGATATTTTGCAAAAGTACACACAATCTTATGTAGTTTTATTTGCACATGCATAGGCATAAGTAAAAATGTAAAAATTAATGTTTTCTCTTATTCGGTGATAAACAAAAAATGAATCTCGTAGTAAAAGATTGTTTTTTTCGCATAGAGTAAAACAATGCTTGGTAGTGTCTTTTTAGCCAAATTAGCATACTAAGAACTATCTATATTACCCACCCACTCTTTTGATAACAACATAAACGAGGTATGACTACCAAACAACATCCAAGGTTTTTCAAATTTGTGAATAGAGTAACATAACAGAGTATTCTGAAACGATTGTGAATTGTGTGAAAAATATTCAACAAAATTTACTAGCAAAATTTACTAATATTAATTATACGGAGTATTAGTTATATAGAGTAAAGGTAACAACACAATTTACTAGGAAAATAAAACAGGAAAACTAACAAAAAGATGACGACTTGTTACAATGTTTTGACACTATATTACTCCGTAATTACTAATATTGGTATAGAAACATCCATTTTTCTTAATTACACAAGCAAACCTATTGGAGCCTTTCGGTTCTTGTGGTTTGAAGTTGGAGTAAGCACATACATTTTGCAATCATGTGTAGGAACACTAGCTGAAATTTGTCCTTTAACTGATTTCACCCTTGTATGCTGTCAATACATATGTTAAAAGGAACAAATAATTAGCAGATGATATAAATTAAACTGTAAACAGAACTTGCAAACAAATTAGTTCAATCATGAGGATTTGAAGGTTTATCACAAGAGTCACACTACGAAAACCTATACATAAACATGATAACATTATTGATAATACTGGATTGGTCATTTTATTAATTTCTACTCCGTAATAAGTAATAACATAGCATGTAGCCCGGATGCTCTCAACGGCCGTTCCTTGCTTGTCCTAACAATTCTTATGATCCAAACACACCTTATAATACTTTCGATTTCTTGCATTTTATATATGCCTTCTAAATTTAATTACTTTCTCATGTGCCATTTCAAATTTGGCACATAGCTTTTATTTTAGTGCCATTTCAAATTTGGCCCATAATTTATACGTAGTATATTAAAAAATCACTTTTGATTTTATGAGTTTCACTTTAATTTCACAATTAATCCATGTCTTTAACTTTGATCGTTTGTTGTACATTACTATTGTTTTGGCCATATTACAATATACCAAGTATAGTCTTTCAATCGATATTCCCGATGGTTAAAATCGCCGGAGAGACATCAGAAATTTGGACATAAGGAGTTAAGGACCACAAATGGTCAAGGAAAATTAGTCAAATACTAAAAATGGACAAAGAAAAAGACGTTGACTGAATGTGGAATTGAAACAAAACTCATAGGACCAAAAATGAAATCAATTCTAATAAAAAGTTAAATTGAGTGTTTAATTAATGTGCATAAAAAGTTAAATTGAGTGGTTAACTAATATGTTTGGCCTATTTAATCTCTAAATATGTGTCTATACATAGGGAAAGTGTCTAGAAAGTTCGTATTACCACAAAATCCTCACTTAGACATTCATTCAGGCACACAAACTTGTTTTTTTTTTGGAATATTATTCTAAACCTATTATAATATTTGTTCATGATAATGTTGACATCCTTGATCGGAATGAGTCTCGAACTTGCGACTTTCTCTTTGATTGGAGTGATATTCATTTAGAAACCATCAAACCACAAGATACTTGACACACAAACTTGTTAGAAAATAACCAATTGACTTTTAATAAGTTATCAAGTCACTAATCCACACCTCATTCCAATTTCACGGCCATATTTGAAATATTTAACCTGCCCCCTTTTTTTATAAAAATTAATTTCAAACACTAGGGTAAGAAATTCACATACTTCGTTTGCATTTTTTATTCAAATATTAGGAGAAAAAGTGAGGAGGATACCGCCCAGAGGTCACGTGCGTGGACGGTGTTGGATGAGTTGAGGCCAATATCCGACCAGTAAGCGGTAATGGTTGCCTCTGTTGATCCTCTATTCCACAGCACCACAGCCACTCTGTTCCCACTCAATGGCCCTGCCCAAACCTGCACTTCCTTATTTTCTTTTATTAGTTTCATGCATGTTTTTCCTTTTGAAATTGTGGGAATTGTTAATGTCATAATGTGTCAAAACTCAAACATGAAATTTATTTTAAAATGGAGGTTTAATTGTTTAATACTACGTATGTTTTTTTTATCTCTACAATATAGTGCATTTAGTTGTACATCATTACATTTTTTTTGTGATTCGTGTTATTTCCCTTTTTAATCTTTATCATCATTGCAATAGCTGTAACCCTGTTTGCAGGGCAGTCTAATGAATTTCGAGATCCCGGTTCCAAATGGCAATTTAAGGCCCTCTAAAACAAGAAAAAATACAAAGTTTAGCAACGAAATACAAATAGCTGGACGGTTCAATGAAATATAAGTTTTATGATTTTTAAAGTACACAAATCAGAAAATATAAAAGTTATATATATACCTTTTAGGAGGAATCTTCATGTCAGGCCGGCCTGACGGGATGCTCCGTCCGGCCGAGCCCGTTTGGGAACCTTCCCGGTGGATTTTTTTGATGAATTTTTTTGAGCATGTTCCTCATCAAGTCTAGTTTGTCCATACCAAATTTCAGCTCAAAATTCGATCGGGAAGGCATTCAAATCATTTTTTTAAGTTGACTGCGTCAAAGTATACATATAAAATTGCAGTCAACTTCGAAAAATGATTTGAATGCCTTACCGATCGAATTTTGAGCTGAAATTTGGTATGGACAAACTAGATTTGATGAAGAACATGCTCAAAAAAATTCATCAAAAAAATCCACCGGGAAGGTGCCCAAACGGGCTCGGCCGGACGGAGCATCCCGTTAGGCTGGCCTGACAAGAAGACCACTCTACCTTTTAGAGTCTTGAATAATACATAACATCTAGAAAAAATCAACTTATAACTAATACTAAATTCTAAATTTTTGGAGCCCCCTACAAGAGTGGGCTTCAGTGCCAATGATCTATTCCACCTCCTAAAAACAGCCACTCTTGTGGAGCCCCTACAAGAGTGGGCTCCGGTGCCTGTTTTTTAAAAGTTTCTAATAGATTTATGCAAACTATTTTTTTATAAATGGAGTGATAAATGTGTGCGATAGAAGTTGAATTAAGACAAAATAATGCATATTTATAGAGATCTAAAAAATGTTCATATATGCATGGATTAAAAACGTATTTAAGTCTAATGGAACAAATGTGGAGTGGGGGGCATCCTTCTGTCCCGTCTCCACCAGTTTTGATAAGTTTAAAACTTTAAATTGTGGGTTTTGGATGAGTACTCCATTTGAATAAAGCTAAGTAGCTGAATAAATAATTCAAATAAATACTCTGATACTACACCTTTATAAGTTTAGGACGTACAAACACATCCCTACTATTCATCAAAACGTATAACGGAGTTTATATTTATAGAAAGAAAGATTTTACCTCCAAATCTCCATCTTGTTTAACTTTTGTCCCCTGATGACCGAGTCCATCTGAGTTTGTTTCCACAATATTGTTCAGTTAGTAATTACTTCTACACACGACATTGAAATGCTGTTGATTGCTATGATGCTTTCATAAGTTGAACTACCTCAATTTCAAATTGATTTGCAAAGTCAACTTTTTTGGGTCAAACAGTTTCATGTTATTAACTTAATTAGTATATCAATTTTTAATTATATTCTAATTTCAAGTTTGCAACTTTATAGAGATTTTACTGTAGTTTTTGAATATGTAAATTTTGATTATTTAAAACTGAACTAAATATTAATAGTGGGGGTTTAACTTTAACATTGGTTGACAAAAAATGTTAACTTTGTAAATCAATTTGGGATGGAAGGAGTAGTGTATTTTGAATATATAGTCTTCCTAATATAGTACGGACAGAGTAATTCACTACTACTAGCATATATGTAACTATCATTCAATTTGGTTTACATATGTTATGCGTAATTTATTAAAAATATCTCATGTAAAAATAAACTTGTTATATTTTGAATTTAAATCATCTCCTTAATTTATTGTAGCATACTTTAATTTCCAATCCAAGCAAGCCCATAAGATATTTTAATGTGTACCAGAAGTCTAGCTTTCATTTTGGATATATATTATATATATTTGGAACTGTGGGTCTATATACATATATATATTATTTTCATGCATACATACCTTGATTAACATCAATCACCTCTTTATTGCTAAGGATTTCGTAGGAGGAGTTGTCCAATGATCGGATATCGCAACCAATTACTAAAGGAGCCTGCAAATTAATCAAGTAACAATCAATTTGGCAGGCTTGTTGATAACAGTTTGACCTGAGGTAATGAAATGCTCGTTTAGAAAAATGTCATGGTATGGTGGGTGTAGCTCAATGGGTGACCATCCACCCCAAGCCTCTCTTAGTGAGAGGTCTTGGTTCAATTCCCACCTAGGGGAGATGAGGGAGGTCTTGCTCCTTGTGCAAATAGAGGTAACGAGTTCGTGTGGCGGGAGCGGCAGCCAGGAAGGGGCATGTGTTGTAAGTTCTGCTGGATTCGTCCTCTGGAGTCGGTATCGACGAAGTTGCTCGGCTATGATTAGATCCGGATTTACTTATCTAGGGGCTTTGGAGGATAGTTCATAGACTTCATGATTACGGGAGCGGAGCGTAAGCCCCGACACCTGAATTATAAAAAATGATGAAAATATTGCCAATATATGATGATGGATGTTTACTTTAGCCAATGCCCAAATGCTGAAATGCGAGCGATATTCCGAGTAAGTCATGCCGCCGTTTCCAACTTCCAAAATATCAGGATCTATAAACAAAAAAAACTATTAATTATAAGAGGGTGGCCATATATAGTCAAGCTTAAGATGTGTTTTTTTAAGATGTGTGCATTAAGAGCTCGGTTAGGACGTCGATTTCATTTTTCTTAGAATGTTGCACCAATAAAAATTACGGATCGTATACAAATATTTTCCAAATATAACATGTCATATCTATTTAAGAACAAAGGTAATATATTTAAGATGTACCAATAATGTGTATAGTCATATGTTACTTAAGTATCTTGATTCGAAGGTATGTCTTCTCAAAGAGGTTAGAGCTAGGTGGAGTCTGATTTCAATAAAAATGTCGGTCATATTTGTGAAAACGTTATGCACTTAGGCTCCTAATATATAGACTATATATATATATAGTCTTATTTGCATATATTTTCCAGGACATAACATGATCCTATTTTGTTAATATGTAGTAATAAATTTACACCAACATTTTCCACATAATTTCTAATGTCTCCACTGTTATGATAATTAATCTTCTCCTCATGCACTCTCCTAATATGATAAGTAAAAGAGTGGTTAGCTAGTGGCATTTAAATAATTGCTAAACCAGGCCTAATGTTTATTATTATATACTTAACATTTGTTCAAGAGTAACACTCCTTAAAAAAATCATCTGTTCAAGAGTAACATATTTGGTGAATGACCTATATATTAATTGTTATATATTCGGAAGTCTAATTTACCATTTATGCTTCCTATTTTACTAACTCTATGATTATTGGAAAATAAAGTAACTATGTCAGTAATAATAATAATAATAATAATAATAATAATAATAATAATAATAATAATAATAATAATAATAATAATAATAATAATAATAATAATAATAATAATAATAATAACAACAATGAATCTCATATTGTTAATTATTACCATTCCATCCACCCGGGTATGCATAAGATGCCCAATGGTCATTTTGATCAGCATTTGAAGTCATACTGGAAAAACAAAATATATATACATCAGAGGGTATGATCGGTATATACTAATGTGCTTAAAGTTCGTGGTTCGATCGCGGTGAGATTTGGTTCTTCCTATGAGAAATGAAAATGATCCGAAAAAATGAACACTTTGATTTAATTTATGAGATATGCACATTTATGGTTAATATAATGTATAGTTCAAATTGGTAGAATAAGTCTAACTTATTTACAAAAATGTCATTACATTTTATGATTCATAGCAGTGCACATTTCTGTTTCATATCGTGCACAATTCTCAAATATAATACACCAAATGCATTCTCAATTCTTTCCTTAAATCACATTCTCATTTGATTCAAATACTATGTTTAGAACTGTTCTCCTCAATCATCAAGCCGTATAGTTTGCATTACCAAAACTTAAGTGATAACAACATTCACGTCTTCCTTTAAAAAAACAACATTCACGTCTTTGTGAAATATTTATATGCGCTCAGGGCACTACTAGAAAGTTGGTTTATAATGACACTTGTTTAGTGACACTATTTCACAGTGTCATTATTAGATGACATATAGTCTCATAAACATATAAATTAAATGTCATTGATTGTGATACATTAACATCAATAGATAGTAGTGATATTAAATGATAATTTTCAATTATATTTTAGATTATTTTGAGGAAACTCGTATGTATAAAAACATTTCCTCCCTATTGATTTTTATTTCCCTCGAACCAATGTAATATAAAAAAAAACTGATTTTCTTCCCAACTTTGAACCCAATGAGTAATAACCCTAACTTATAATCTCTACCCACAATTCTAATATTCAGATAAAATCTGGGTTCTACGGCGACTCTTCTTCATTTCATCTTACTGTTTTTTCTTCATTTTTGTTCTTATTGAAAAAATCTCAATCATACATATCCACTTTATCTATATGCTTATATATACACACAGTCATATATATACCTTTCCCATTTGTCTTCAATGTCTCCGCTCGTTCTCCAACTATTCCCCGCAGTTTGTCCCCAAGTGGCAACATCTTCTTGTCCCCTAAAAATAGAAAACCCTACTTGAGAAATAAGATAATGCCACAACTACTATAGTTAGATTAATACATAAAAGACATTACAACAACATGCCCGTCTAGTAGAATTGAAAGACTGTGTTCTGATTGCAAAATATAGTCACATATCATAAGAATCAAATTACCTCTTATTTAATAACTTAAAAATAAATTAAACAAATGAATTCTAATGTGAAGCATATTTAAAAAACTTTATAAACATTACCATTTTATCACAATGAAATCATAGTAATTAATGCATTATATGTGCGACTATAATAACTGCATCGTATGCTATTTTAGAGTGCGATTTTAGATTATGACCACTATTATCTTAATTGAGCCAATCCATTTTATGAAGCTTTTGGAAAGAACTTTAGTCTGAAAATGTTCAATATAAAATTGTTATTTTACATTGATTTACAATTACATTCGCTTTAGTCTTCACCATAAAAATGCCAAAAAATAAATGATTTGCATTTGTATTAGCAATAAATGAATTTGTATGTACATAAATAAACTTACATCGTATTCTTTCTATTTTGCTTAGAGATGATTAGAAAGATGATATTTTATTACATTTTAATTTGGACTCTTGGTTATTCAAAAGGAAGAAAACCCAAAATTAATGGGTTGACTTGCCTGTTTGCTTCTATAATTTGACACTTTATTTAGTGCTTGCAAACTTGTTATTTCTTGCTTCATTAAATTTTCTGAATAAACATGTTCTAAATTGGTCAAAGCCTTACCATTCGCACATAGAAAAAAAGATGTTCCTTCCCGAGTTAAGCAGTGCCTCCTTCATTTTATAGTACCTAAATCAAATAATAATAGATGATTACAAACGAGAATGTCACTTTATGCGTGAAATGAGAATGAATCTACTCGATTGGATTTTAAATCTAGGTGCTAAAAAATCAAAATATGCATGAAATTTGATAAAACATACAGAGTTAGATTTTCAAATAAATCGGACTTTGATGTCACTAAAAAGAGGGAAATATTTGAAATATAAAGTCTAACACTATGAGAAAGAAAGTGACACAGATTCGTTTTTGACACAAATTCATGGAAAGGAGTGGTTCAAGTGAAAAAGATTCTTTCATAAAAAATGAGAAGAAAGTCACGCCCTTGATCACTCAAAGATTGAAGAGGTAGATAATCTTATTAAAGTATCTAGTGACATAATTGTAAATGGATGTGAAACTTAAATATGCAAGAAATGAAGCGCATATGTTATTCGTAAGAGGCTAGGGTATATGCCCGCACAATAATTTTTTTCACTACATAATTTCTTTAATACATGTTTTAGTTTAGATATTAATTGATGCAATTTTGTGTTATGCATGGACCTTCTATGTATAACAATGCACTTTTGTCACTCAACTATTTTTAAAATTCATTAATATACTAATGCCATCATGTTCATCACTACTTTAAAATTGATGTTTCCTCTAATTTTCTTAAATCAATAGTCAATGTATGCTCTCTTTTTACCTAAGGAGTACTTTTAGTTTTATTTGAATCAAATATATACACACAAATACATGTGTGTGCACATGCATACATATAAGGTCCGGTGAGAAGGTTTTTCCGATGAGAAATGAGAATGACCTGAAACTATGCACATTCTAGTTCACGGTGGTGCACATTTATGATTAAGCTAATGCTCAGTTCAAATAGACACAAAGAGTTTAATTTATTTATAAAATATAACCGTATTTTCTTATTCATAGCACACATTATTATTTCATATGATACACAATGCTCAAATATAATGCACTATATTCATTCTCATTTTCTCTTTAGATCGCATTATCATTTTTCCGAAGTATATATGTATATATACTTTTATTGATCTAACAACGGGGCATCCTTAGTTGAAGGCTGGCGTAATAATAATATGTGCACATGGCCTAGTTCATCACACCAATGTCTCTCATAAGTCAACTATAACATCAATGCTTGATTCTTTCCTCAACGTCCACGTTATATATACTTTGTTCCACTTGCCCTATGGTGTCAAGTATTTCCTACCTTCAAGCAAAGACTCACAAATTACAGTTTAGTTTTTTCTCAATAAATGTAAGTAGTATGTTTTTATTTGACTACTTTACCTAGTTTTAATGATTTTTCTTAAGAAAAAATCATATGCATTTTGAGTATTTAATAAATTCTATGTATAACTAAGATTCAATTGACACTTGCATATAAACCTTGAATGCCTATCATAGAAGTGAATTTAAATCCCTTACACCTTAGCTTCACACAATGCAGTTTTTCTCATGCAGAAGTATTTTCCAGAGATCGTAACGAAAAATATCAGAATCCCTTCATCAATTCCTACATGTAGTTGCACCCCAACAAACACACTCCTCCCTCAAGCTCCCCAAGTCTTATCCTCTCCCAAAACAAGTCTCCGCAATAGTCAATCGTTCTTCCTTCCCAAACCACTTGAAATACTCATCCAACCACTCTCTCCACATCCAAATAAAAATGCAACTCTCACACAAATATAAGTACTAATGGTATCCTTTGTGCATCCTTCCAGATACATCACCCCCATGCATGTTCATAACCATGACAATGGCACGTAGACTTACAAAAAAGCTATTGTCATCCCAAAATGTCTATATAGCATGAAGGAAGAGTTTTAATCCCTTATCAACAACAAAATTTTGTCTCTTTTCATTTCTCGTCTATCATAGAATTGAATGATGTTGGGAGAAAATAGACTTATCTAGTAAAGTACTATTGAGATGAGATCATGGCTCAGTACAAGCATTCCCTGTTGCATAAGGTTTTCATCAACATCTTGAAGTTGCTTTCAAAGATACCTTGAATCTGATTGTTCATCTAGCCTTCTTTGAGATGTTCTTGCTCTAGTTATGTAAATGGTTGGCCTTTATGTCATTTAGACATCAACAATGCTTTTTTGCACGGAAAATGGTCTCACGGAGTTGATGGAAAAAACTCTCTCAACCACTTTTTCCTATTACACAAAGCTCTGATGGGTTGTGTACATGTCAAGCTCTCTGCCCTTGGTGTTATCACTAGTACTATCTTCCACCATCCATTTCTCATTGACCATTTTCTTCATGCCACCCGTTTCCCATCGTCATTGAGTAACCACCTTTGAACCACCAGGTCAGAGTGTTACAAACTTTCTAACCTCACTACTATATGTGTTAAATATCGCTTACCACCAGTGTCTACCATCCACTACCCTTCGCCACCGTCGTTCATTGAAGACATAAAGTGAGTAAGTTTTCAACCACCGTGAATGAGTAAACAATGAGGTGTTTATTCCTATTTAGTGACATATATATCGATTCATAAAGGATATATGTGGTAATAATTAGCTTTCCTTTAAGAATATATGTTCATATTTAGAGAAGTCTTTCATGTAGCAATTTTGCATGCATGCACACAAACACACACAAGATTAGTTCAAAGGCACAAAACCTGCATTCTACGTACTTAAGGTTGTTGACATAATCAAAATTAAAGATCACATTATTACATAAGCAATTAGATGAATACAGACACTAAATATGATAATGAAACATATGGGTATGTGGGCACACTTAAATCACTAAAGGAGGGCATCGTACCTTCCCTTAACATCTTCTTTATTGTTATTACAATTGTCATACTTAAGGTAGTCGATTCCCTGATTTGAGCAGATACACAAAAAAATAAGTTAGCATTGATGTGCTCATGTTCATTCTCGGTCTCTCTCTCTATATGTGTGTGTGTGTGCGCGCGCGCGCATGTGTGTATGAGTGTGCGTGTGTGTGCGCGCGCGCGTGTGTGTTCATAAAGCTCAATGTCATCAAATAAATAGAAGATTGTAATATAACTTGTTATTTGTGAACAAAGTAACATTTTGAGTCAAAACTAAGGGATACTCAAACTTTTATTGTTTCACCAATTTCATAATGACAACCCCTGGTAAACTTCCAGTTTTTTAGTCTGGAACTCTACATGTCAAGTAAAGAAAGGTATAGTGTCCGACCTCTCCCAACCCTCACATGAAGACTCTGACCATTGTTAGTGCATGGATCCATTTGATATGCATATTTCTAACTTCTTCCTCTACCATTTAATGAGTATAATATGCAACACACTTGTCATATGGTAGATGACTCAATTCTAAACAATTCTAATGTGTTAGGGAATATGTTAAATTCATTACCTAATTGAGTTTTAAACTTGTGTTTGTTTTGAAATAAGATTTTACATCTCATATTCTAAATAATTTAAATTCGCATCTGAATATTGGAAAAGATAATGGTAAGTAAAATACTATTCTAATTACGAGCTACAAGGTTATATAGAAATAAGGAGCAAACCACCTTAAATTTGGGGTAGAAGTTCATGCTATTCGAAAAGTAGAATGCAAAACTCAATTCAAAATTAATAATATGAGATTCAAACATAACTTCAGCTAGCTAGGATAGTTCAACCATGAGTAATGGCTAAAACCCACATATTAATCCATTTACTTAGTATTTTATTGTCAATGAAAGATGGATAAAACCTACATATTAATCTATTTACTACGCATTTTTTATTTCCGTGCACCAAAAAAGTTTCTAAATCACTAACCGCGACGCGAGTGTGCCGAGTGTGCAAGTGTCCTTCAACCTTAGGTTATTAACTTATTCATACGCTACTTCATTTAAAATTCCTTTGACTTTGAAATTCGCGGTGAAATTGACCTATTGACTTTTTAATAAATGCGTTTGAGAGACTAGATGGAGAAAGACGTTGTTCACTAAGAATCTAAACTTGTAAGGTATATTTGGTTCAAGTTATTAAAGATCCTCGTGGTAATATAAGAATGTTAATATCACATTAATTTGTTTGGTTGAAGGTATAAGATTACCATAAAATGATAAGGTGATGATAAATGGATTATTTAAGTATTCTTAAATGACTATACATAGGATAATAATGTAGACATGATTACTGTTTAATTGTGTGAAGCACACTGGTTAAGTAGTATAAAAATATATACTTCGTATAAATTTTGACTACTTTCAAGAGATTGATTTTTATGATGAAATTCCAAGTCTTAATAGGTTGTAAGACCCTATTGTCTCTAACGAGGAACTCAATTTGAATAAGACCAAAAAAAGCATAAATTTATCAAATAAGTCTACTCCAATTATTTAACATATGATGAACATCTTAATAAATCACATTAATTAATATGACTCAAGTTTTCTTAAGATTAGTGAAAAATACACTTCTCATGACATGTAGTACATTTTTCTATGAAAAGCAAAAGCAAGTATAAATACAGCGCTAGCCCTCCTATACTTTTTCTTTCCTTTTTTAGGCTAGTCCTCCTATTTTAGGATGGAACCTTGCATAACTCGTGCTGCACATTATGTTACAAAAAACAAGATTTATTATTCTAATATGTATGTGTATGTACATACGTACCCATGAGGCAAACGTTCTGGCATCTTGTTCTTCATAACCCAATGATCCCGGCATAGTATTACTGCATGTCTGTGTGCTGCAAATGTATAAAAATAAACTTGATAATCCAATAACTTATCTCACATGTGGCTGCTAGTGGCGTAACAAGCGGTTCAAATTGGGCTAGGTCGGTACAAATATTTTTTTATTATATATTCATGCTATATCAATACCCTTTTATGGGATATTGTTGTTTAATACTCTCTCCGTTTCAGTTTCTTTGACACAGTTGGACTTGTCAACATTTAAGAGAAAAATTTACTGAAGGGAGTAAATTTTACTGTTTGGCACTGTTTGAACACTGTTTGACACTGTTTGAACACTGTTTGACACTGTTTGGCACTGTTTTTCACTGTTTTGGTAGAGATTTGTTTACCAAATAAGGAAATAAGGAAGTGTGACATTTATTTTGAAACATCCAAAAAAGAAAAGTGTGTCAAACAAACTGAAACGGAGGGAGTACTAAACTAAAAATCATAGACATAGGTACGTCTAAGTGGTCATTGCAACACCATTATAGTCACTCTACTAATAAGTAATAGTCAATGCTCATTAATCAAATCATATTCGAATTGTATTTTAACAATATATTAGTCATTATTTATTTTTAAAATTTTATTCTCATTGCAAATATAAATTTAAGTATAAAAGTATTAAGTATAACACTCAAAATATTTTACCACAATATTTTAAAAGAAACATAATAAACATACATAGTAAATAAAGGCTTCAAAAATTAAAATTTGAGAAGTGATTCAAAAATAATTCATTTAGACATGTAAATTTTATACTCCTAGTTAATGTTACATAGAAAAATGTTGACTGAATTTGAAGTAGGTCGACTCACCAAATCAGACTGGTTAGCATGAAACTCATCATTTTTTCACTACATTCTCTAATCCTCTCAAATTGTTAATCTTCAATCTTCAATATATCTAAACAATAATTTTTAGTTTCTTATCCTAAAAATGTTACATACCCAGCATCAGAGTAAATCCCAAGCTTCAACCCTCTTTGGTGAACATAATCCGCTAACGTTGCGATTCCAGAAGGAAATGAAGTGCCTTTTGGGACCAAGTTTCCCTGCATTCCATTCACTGTCAATAAATACCTACTTATCATCATTATTACCAATGTCCAGTGTTACTTTCGCTTCATTCCATTCACTGTCAATAAATACCTACTTATCATCATTATTACCAATGTCCAGTGTTACTTTCGCTTTAGGAAGTATTTAATTTTCAAATTCGTCCCATTAAGGGAGGTTTAATGCACCAAACCCCCTTGTGAAATATAAATTCGGCGCATAAGCCTCCTGTGATTTAAAAAATGCGTCAAACCCCCTTGTGTTATAATTAATCATGCGCCAAACCCCCTCCAAGAACAAATTTAATTTCCCAAAAAAGAAAAATAATTAGTTTTTTTGTATAATTTAGAAATTTTGACAAAGTTACTTGCATATTCAACCATACTATTAAAAAAAGTGATTTCAAAATTGTAAAATTTGTTCTTAGAGGGGTTTTTGCGCATGATTGATTATAACACAGGGGGGTTTGACGCATTTTTTTAACCACAGAAGGCTAATGCGTCGATTTTATATTTCACGAGGGGATTTAGTGCATTAAACCCATTAAGGGAAAATGGTTTCAGATTCTCTAATTTTATTATAAAGTAAATGATACTATATATGAGTTTGAGACATTTCAAAAAGGGAAATATGGAATAATCAATTTAGGACGACATAATAGTACTTAGTAATAATGAAATTAAAATTATATTTCAAAAGTAATTTGTCGTCATACCTGGTCATCTCGGTTTTGTTCAGCCCAACAATCATCTGATCCATGAACAAAGTTCAGCCGAAAACACACACATTAATGTTTTTATTTTGAAACTAAATTAAGGATGAATTTTACTAATTTCACAAAGACTAAATTATTGCTATTTTATGATTATATGAAAATAATAAAATACATCGTATTATGTAATCAATCATACCGATATTGATATATTGATATCCCAAGGAAGCAAGCCCAGTTGAGACCATTGCATCAGCTTCCAATATGGCAATATGTAAAAACAATAATAAAAATAGACCTGTTTTATACCGTCCTCTACAAACTCTTGGAATGATCAATGTGTCTAAAGCTTGAATTATCTATCATTAACATTAGGGCCTTTTTTTTCACACATTATGATATATATTCATGGATTGTTAAGATATACCAAGTAGGAGTATAACATAAAACAATAATTGTGACGATGAATTCGAATTTCCGTCTTATTTTAAACTTTTATACTTTTAGAATCTAAAGAAGGCAAAAAGAGAGGAAGCCGGGAGGATCTATGTATAGCTATAGTGGGCGAAGCCCAGATCAACTTAATTTTTTCATTATTTAGTGTAAATTTTTTCATTTTTCATATTGAGCTCATCCATCTAATTATAAGTTTAGTATAATTGCTCTTCAATCCAGTCTAATCCAAGTAATTGGATCCGCCCCTGGTGGAAGGACATGGTAGCTAGCTAGCTTACCGGTTTCTCGAATAAGGTTTTCATTTATATCGCAATGGAAATGATTCCAGGTGCTCCATCTGTCAACCACAAAAAATAATACGAAATAAAACTATAATGTTAAAGGTTTAAAATTATAATCTCCCTACAAATTAAATTTGCAAGCTATGTATACTTGATTTTTTTGTCAAACCTGTTGAAATTATACTCATATGAGTATATGACTGCACAAAATTACTACGTATAAATGATTAAATGTATTTTTATTTGAGTACCAAAAAATATCACATTTAGCTGTCCTTGTCTCGACAGAGGAAAAAAATTGCAATCCATATAAACCCATTTGTAGTGTTTGCTGTCCTTGTCTCGACAGAGGAAAAAATTTGCAATCCATATAAACCCATTTGTAGTGTTTTTTGAGAAGAGACCATTTGTAGTGTTGAGTCTAAAAAGTTAAATACGAAGTACCATATGAAAATAGTGTCAGGAGTACATATATAAGTAGAAATATTGAAAGGATCGGAGTGCAACATTGTATTTTTTCAACTATTCATCCACCTTACTTTGATCACAATTTTCCACTAATATATATAATCAAATTATTATGTGAAAAATGTTAAAAAAAATTATTAATGTGAATTTACAAAATATTACTTTTTGATAATGTTTACTTCTGCATAATTAAATATAATTTCAGTCAAAATTGTATGTTGTCAAACGTGATAGTCAAACTATTACTACTATTAAAGAACGGAGGATGTATATAAGTGTAAGCACACACGTACCCCATCTGGGGTCTAAGAGCGAGCTCATTTGCCAGAAGGCCCCTTTCCGTTACCATCACCGCCCGTCCTAAACCCGATGATTCGTCATCGTCTTCGTTCATTCTCCGATCGCGATGAGCAGACGTTGTTGCAGTAAACTGGCAAGTGCAAATTAGCAGTACGAAGCACACTCCCAAAACATGAATTGAACCATCAAAACTCCTCATGATCATAGGCTTCATTCCTACGCATGCACTAGCTATTTCAATTCTAACTCCGATCTGCTGCCAAATTTCAACGCTTTAATATTATACACTCCGTAAATTGATGGATCCACGTACTTCAATTCTAGTCAGACCAGACTACGCATATCTCCTATATATATAGTATAGTATACGTAGGTAGGGTACGTGTCCTATATGATATGCCATAGAAAGATAAGTATGAAATGGTGGGGGTGACGAGGACCATGCACCGCTAGATAATGTGGAGGGCAGCTTAGCTTAATTAGCTTTGTTAGGGGAAGTTTGATTTTTTTTCAACTCCAGAGGTCGGGGAGGGGGCCTGGGGCAATTAATCAGAGCTAAAACTCATTCCATGAAGTTTTGAAATTATATTTATATATGAGTATATATGTTAATATGTACACTAGCGTAGCTTGTTTAATTGGTTAATTAATTAATTAGTACCTCCGTCTTAGCACATATAAAGGTTATTTCTATGTTGCACGGAAAGGAGAAAATCGTGATGAAACGGGAGACGGGAAACGTCAACTTTTGTTCAAAATGCTTGTTCGAAGAGTTTCCAAAAAGTTTCCATAGAGTTTCTGAAACGGAAACGTACTATTTCCCGAGAATTTTTGTGCTACATAGGTTCTCATTCATTATTTATCGGTCAACATAATGTATTCTTAATCATTTACTTTATATATTCGATTTTTATCAAATTTGGGTTTTTTCTTTGTGACTTTGTAAAACCTTTAATGCAGTTTCTGAATATGTAAAATTTATTTGTTGAAAATAATCATATTATTGACAGGGATTGGTTAATTTTCTGATCACTCAAACATAGTAGTGGAAAACTTTTAATTGGGAAGGAGACAAATAATACTTCGTACTTGTCTTCTTTAATTTAATTTATTTTTATTAGCTAGCTAGCCGGACAGCTGCCATTTCTGAGCTGGAAAACGTATACTTGAAGACAACACCTTTCCTATTTTTAGCTTTCCTTCGTTTACCTTACTACTACTACTGCTTGTTATGATGTAGGTGTGTATATATAATATATATATATGCATCATCAAGGTATATCTATATATGACCTATCTGCCCTCCATCCATCCATCAATTACTTTACTTAATTAATTGCACATCAGCTTATGTTAGATTTGGTACTTAAACATCACCATCATTTATGTATGTATCCTATTTGACTAAAACTTAATTGTGATATGACTAATTAATCACACGTATATACGGAGACTCACTTTTCAGCAAAAGTAATATGATTTCCATCAGTGATTTCCTACAATACACGCTATAAATCAAGCACGCACTTTATAAAAAAGGATGACACCCCATCCCTGAGGGCCCCCAACACCGACCGGACGGCACGATGGGAGGATGTAAATTGAACTATAATCACAATCTGATAGATAGAGAGTGGGGCTCTGTCCCCGGTACTTGCAGAAGTCCTATGCATTTTTCAGCATAGTAACCCCTCATCACAGTTGCCGGGATTCGAACACGAGACCTAACCCTTGTGGCACTCTCTCGCTACCAGTTGAGCTACGCCCACCGGTAAGCACGCACTTTATAAGTTTTATTGGATGCGGTCCAAGTATTTCCCAAATTAGTGTAAGTGTAAAATATAATTAACTAATACGGAGTATGAACTAATTGCTACTCCGTACAATATAAACTTAATTAACTCATCCTGTCATGTTAATATATTTTACGATATAATTCCTAGTTTTAAAATAGTTTTAAAATAGTTTCAGAGCCAAGTCGACCCATAACTATATATATGATGATTATGACGAATCGATGAAGTAAAACCGATGAATGGTGACACGATCTAGACGGGCACGACCATGCCTTCTTTAGGCGGGTGAGTCTTAGGCCCCTGGGCCCCAAAAATATTAATTAAAATGTTATGGGACCAAATAATTAAATACCTTTGACCAAGTAGTTAAGTACTATACAAAGCCCGCACTCCCGAAGGATTAGAGGGAGTGCCGATTACTGAAGAGCCGAGCGTCAGAGTGTGCCGACTCGGCGACTCTCTGCACATGCATTCCCTTTTTTGGTTGCAACATTCCCTTTTTCACGTTTACCAATGCACAATTTTGACTGTCATTATATTTAATTCTCAGTAAAAAACTTTTAAAAATCAGATTATGAAACTTTGTAATGAGACGAATTCAACAATATTTTTCAAAAAAAATAATTCACATACATTAATAAATAAAATTTAGTCAAAGTAGAGTATATGAATAGTGTTAAAATTCCAATGTTGTAACTATTATATCGATACGAAGGATAATATAAGATATGGTATAAGAGTTCATGTTATGCTAAGGCAATATTTCCAGCAATAACCATTCGAATATATTTCTATTAATTAGTGCTCTGTATGATATAGGAGAGTGCACTATTACTTCACCCATTTATTTTAACTTAACAATGAAAATACATTAACCTCTACTATATTCTAAAACTTGCAACACAATACTTTGCAACTGATCCAGATACCCTGCATTTGGGGATCTATGCCGTCACTGCAGTCCACATCTCTACCAGTTCTTTTCTTTTTATGATCTGTGAAGTATTGGATATAATGTACACAAATGTCTGAGTCATGGGTGGATTTAAGAATTTATAGTATTAACTTAGTGATGGACCCGGTTCGGGTCACCCGGCCCGGCCCGGTACTGTGCGGGCCGGGGCCGACCCGGGAACCGGGTACCGTTTCCGGGTCATTGGCCCGGTTTAGGGAGGATAGCGAGGCGGGTACGGGTCTGGGGAAAATGGAACCGGCCCGGCCGGTTCCGGGCCCGGTTCGGACTTTATTTTTTTTAATTTTTTTTAACTTTCCGGGTTGGGCTGGGTATTTTGGGCCATTTGGGCTGGTTTGGGGGGGTGGGGTGAGGGGGGGGTCGGGGGTTAATTAGAAAAGGCAAAAAAAAATATAAACTGGCTCGAGGCCCGGCCCGGCCCGACTCGGACCCGCTGGCAACCCGGGCCGGTCCCGGGCCTTCCCCCAATCACAAAAGGCCCGACCGGGCCCGACCCGACCGGGCTCCATGCCTAATTAACTTAGTTGAAGAGTGATTGGACTTGACTCAATGGCTAGATATAAACAAATTTTTTTAGATAAATTTGTACAAATAAATTTTTACACTATAAATTCAGACAATTTTCAAATTTGGGGTGGACCGAAGCGCGGGCAGTTGACCCTTTAATATCGCCATGTGCTTCCACACCATGTAGTAATAATGTAATATAGCTATAAAAATAACTGGTGGGCAGATAAAATGTAAGTGTAATGAGAAGAAAAATGAGTAATATAGAATCCATTGAAACTCTAGCTACCCATCCACGGACCATGCCTAATATTTATTTTATAAATTTGGGGCACCGAGAAGGCCAAAAGATAAGCGATCTGAATGTTCCTGATCTGATCTGAATGTTCCTGATCTGATCTGATCTGAATTTTTCTGATCTGGTCTGAATAAAATAAGAATAAGCAATAAGTAATAAGATTAAGACGAACAGAACAGCTTCTTAGTATGAAGAAATCATCTATAAGCCCACCTTTTCCGATTAGAAGCAATCAAGCAACATTCAACTCCACAGGAAAAAAATGGAGTGGGTGAATTTACCTACGTGGGAGTGAACGTTTGTCTATAGTCTACAAATCTACAAGATGACCTGGAAGGGAAGAGGTTGAGTAGGAGATGATAAAACCATATAAACTTTAACACGATAGGTAAGACAAGAGCAAAGCAACATGATATGCACTCAATTTGTTTACGATAATCAATTTGGTCACATCCTTTGTTGATGTAAGATTTTCCCTTTGTTATCATTTCACGCGGCATGATAGAGATAATTCATTTCATTCTCTACAAAAAAAATAAACCAGCGGACAGAGGAGGGAAAGGATATCTTGAATGCTGCAAAGGCACGTTTTTTCAATGAGCCTCAAGAGGCGTTCTGCATCCTCCTCAGCTTCCATCTGCTCCTTGAGATAAAGCAAGTCATCACTGTCCAGAGCTGCACATTCAAACTTGGACACACTCAAAAAAAACTAATGAACATTTTATATGAATAGACTATTGATGCTTTGCCTGTGTGTATGACAAGATGGGAATATAAGGGAAAACTTAATTTCCTCTTGGAAGTTTTCAGTTAATTCATTTTAGAGAATAGAAGTAAAGTGTAGTGATCTTTGTTGTTTAAGTGAATATATGATAAAATGACCAAGGAATCGGGATTTACCCAGACGTTAACTACAATTCCAAATAAGTTTTTCACTTTTTTGTCAATTCTTATTTGTACGATATCGATATTATATTCCCGACTCCGGTTAAGGAAGTGAGAGCACGGTTTTCTCTACGTGTAAGTTCCGTTACGGCTCACATTCATAGAGAAAAAACCCCGTTAAATATTAAGATACCACACACGCACCATAAAAGATCAGGTGTATTTCTATCCTCAATACTATGTATGTTTATTCTTCTAGAGATGATCTATATTGCAACGCTAATTGACCATATAAATCTCTAGATATTATGCAACGTAGTTTGTATAAATTTAGTTCTAGGAAAGGTAAAACGCGAATTACTCTTTTAGTGTCCAATTGATATTTCAATGTCAATTATTTCATATCAATTACATAGATTATACTCCTATGTTGCATAACATGAATGTCTAGTTAAGATTAAGAAGAATAAATCATATATTGACTTAGAACAAATATCAAGAACTAGCGGCCGTAGAGGTTCATCCCGAGCCTTGAGCTAAGGACTTAGCCTCTAACACTCATATTGATCAAGATTACAATACTAGAACATAATAGAACATGAAAATATAAAGGACATATTACCTTAACATCAATGGTTGGAAGAAATGAGCTTCCACACCTCAAGAACACCCTGAAGAACAAAGAAAAACTATATAAACTAGTTGGCGGTGGAAATATGTTCGGTTCTTTTGAAACCTTTACAAGCCTTTTGCTTATGGAAAATATTTCACTTACAATGATTCCCAAAAAAATATAAAAATGTATTTAAAAAATGCATTTGAATTTGGGAACCATGTTTACCTCTCCATGA